AGCTATTCATCAAGCTGCCCATCAGGCTGGAATACGGTTGTGCTTTCCCCATTTTGCATGTTACTGTTCTTCAGTTGCCCTGTTACAGAAAGGTCCATACCAGCTACTACAAACATTATGGAAAGAAAAATGGAATAGCAGCAATTAGTAAATTCCTGTCATGTTTCTGCACTTCTGGGTTTAGTAACCAATGCCCAATTTACCTGTACAAATAAGACAGGTCTCTGTCAGAGCTGGACGGTGGCCGCCTCGGCCTCTCGGGGGGACAGCCTTTGGCGTGGGAGCTCCAGCCATTGGCACCGTGTCCTGCCCTCTCCCTGCAGAAGCTGAGCAGAAATGGAAAAACTGCTGAAGAAGATCTCTTTGTGAGACCTGCTGCTGCTCCTGGAGTAAAGCTCATGTTTGTGTTCATCCTTGAAGCTGAGGACACCCTGCTGTCCTGCTCTTGAGGCTGCAGAAACCGATTTTGCTTAAGTAACGTGCGTCCTCCCTTCCCTCCGCTCGGAGGGTGCAGAGCAGGGAGGGTTGCAAACACAGAACGGCAGAATTTTGTTTTCCACAGTGAAGCTGCAAGGGCAGTTGGCAGCGGCAAGCCTCGGCCTTTGATGTGTGCGCTGGAAACAGTTGCAAAATCTGAATTTCAGAAACAAAAGGCCTGACCATCTTTAGGCCCAGGGCTTGCATGTGTTTCCCTCCCTTTCCACCCAAGGCAGAATGGAAGGGAGCGGGGCTTCCCCATCCTCCCCGTAAGGACTCCCCAGGCAGCGTCCTCCTCGGGCTCCGTGCTGGGGATGGGGCTGGGGGGAGAGGGGGATTCCCGGATTGATGGCTTCCCTTGGGAAAGCTGCCACAGCTCAAGTCTTGTGCTTTAGCTGTCTGTACAGTTGCCAGATCCATTTAGTGCATAATTCATTTTGCTCTCAGGGGTACACAAAGGGGTTTTTATGAATGCTAAATTATGTAAACAAGGGTTTGATTCTTTCTCTGTGTTCCAGGATGGAAACATTAATAGAAGAGCCGGGGGGACATTGAAGCCAAGTACAAATGCTGTCATCTCACAAATCTTCAGGATGAAGAGCAGCTCTTCTTTAGTCAGCCTGACTGCATTATCTCGTTGGAAAACCTGGGCCAGGTTTGGCCTGTGAAATTCTCTCTCATCCTCGCCATCAGGAGCAATACAGAAACAAATGCGTCTTCCAAATCAGCAATGTACGGACCAGCTCAGAGAAAGCACTAACGCTTTCGCAGGGGAAAGGAAAATGAACAGTCTGTTTCTTAATGTAAAGCAGAGCCTTCTCTGCTTGTGGGTTAATAAATATTTGGCAGAAATAAAACTGTAAAGCGGACGCCTAAGAAAAAAGAATTAAATGCAGGGTTGTTCCTTCCCCGCGCTGTTTCTGCTGAAAGAGCTGCACAGTCAAGCTAACCCCAACCCTGGGCTGTATGTGAGGGGCTCTGTGTGCGTACACGTGCTGTTTTGCTGTCGCCACCGTTTCTGTTGTCCAATTCAGCCCATTGAATTTTCCAGAGCAGAGCTTTCTACTGTAAAAACTGTTTAAGTAAAACAATAGCAGGGGACGAGGGGAAAAGGATGGGCTGCTGCTATTGAGAGCACTTTGGAGAGCAGCAAGACTTGAATCATTTGTTGTTACAGAGCAGGGCCCGTGACTTGAGGCTTTTTCCCTGGAAAAACTCGCTCCAAGCAGTACCTGGAGCATGGCGGTGCCCCTCCACCAGCTTTACCGTCCTTTTGCACCTGCAGCAGATGTTGAAACACCTCGGGCTTTGTCCATCGCATGTCTCGCTCGGCACAGGCAGCTTGGAGCAACAGTACCACCCCATGGCCACCCGTTTCGGCAGAGGTTGGCCTCTGATCCTGTGTGAAGTGAGCGCTGTGGCCATTAAATCCCTGTTTTGCAGACTTAGGGTGTATATTCAAATGCTCTCTAAGAGCTGTCCCGTTCCTTGCTTTCTCTTGTGGTTGGGTTGAAGGACCAGCCCATGCCAGGTACTGCCCGATGCTTTTGGAGGGATTTTTGGTAGGTGACGTGTGTGCAAGTAGCAGAAAGCTGTAAACACTTCTATTTCTGCTGGACAAGGCACCATCCCCGCTGTGCCTCCCCGCGTGGAGCCGGGGAAGGGGAAGACAGGAGATGGGTGGCAGGGGCACGAGGAGCCCGGCAGGCTCTGCTCCCCACAAGGCCTGGCACGGCCGGGGCAGCGGGGTGCTTGGGCACTCATGCCTGGGCGTACCTGCAAACACGGCGACGGTGTCAAAACCGGGCACGGGACCAACGCCGTATGCCAGCTGCCCCGCAGTGAGGGGAGAACACCGTCATTCCCACTTGATTTTCTGTCACTTCAGATCTCTGTTCCAGTTAATGGTTTTCTGGGCCATGTAATATTGGCATTATCAAAGTCTGTCATGAAATGCTAAAATCCAGGGGGATATGGATAAGAGAAAACACAGAGTTGCTTGAACGTTACTCAAAATATTTTAATGTACATGCTGTAGCCACGTTAAAGAAGGGGGAAAAAACATCTTACAGAGATGAAAGGCGTCAAAGGATGTGATTTCATCATGCCAAAAGCTATATATTTCGAAGTGACTAAAGCCAATAGCATCAAAATAGCTTTTTTTTCTGGCATGTGAAAACCAGACCAAGGGGCATGGAAAAAGGAAGAACAAACGTGTTTAACTGATAGATGAAGCTGTTCTGATCCATCCATCAGGTAAAGAAGCATTCTTGTGTTTGTGGGGCTTTTTAACAGGTATAAATTTGAGATAAATAATACTTTAAATGGTTCTATTTGTATATACCTAGTAGGCTGGAACAGCTGTATTATGTTGGGTAGATAGGTAGATATTTACAGAGAATGATGACTGATGTAGAACTTGACGATAGGTATGAAACCCCTACCAGATACGGTGTTTGAATAACACAACAGTGAATGTCAGCCACAGGCAAGTGCGGTACTGCCTCGGTTACAAGGTGAGAGTTGCAAGTTCAGCAGCTTGTGACTGCGCCGTCTGTAAAAACAGCGGCACGCTGCAACTAGCCAACACCCCAGCCCCATGTCAACCCTGCCTTCCTCAGTGCGGGAGCGAGGGCACCAGACCCCTGCCAAAAGCAGCCTCTCTTACCTCCCCCATTTGTCTCAAGCCCTTGGAGAAAATAAGGACAAGATTCAGCTGAAGGACCAAAACTCCCAAACTCTGCTGGCCGCATATAGGTCTCAGCTACTTTCCAAGGCCCTCGTTATGGTCAGTGGAAATCTTGATAATAGAGGTTAAGCCCGGCCTACAGCAGACACCTAAGTCTAGTTGGCTTCTAGGCTGATGGTAACACGAGTTTAGACGTGGGCCGTGTGTGGACACCTTCCACCTGGTGGTCCCTTTGCCAGTGTTGCTGGCAAAGCCCCATTCCTTAGTCACTGTCAGATTTGCCTCTCTCATCAGTCTCAAAAGCGTCAATAGGAGGGAGACAGCTGCTTGCCCAGAGATGAGTGCTTACTCTGAGCAGTTGTACTCAGTTTAGCAAAGCAACCGCCTCTTCTCATTTCACTACCATCTATTTAAACCACTCTCTTCTCAGTAGGTTTCTTGCCAATTTTCCAACAGGCCATCTATTCCCACGTGCTGTTAGGGCTCAGAAATCAGGGCTAAGGACAACTAAAAGGCAGAGCGCTGACCGTGGTAATACCTAATGCCGCTGGAGGACCCAGCCCGCACGCCATAGATGCTGAACAGCCTCTGTTACTCCGAACTCTCCTCTAGTCAGTGAGGTACCCAAGGCTAAAAGTAACACAGGGAAAGCTACACAACACAAAAATACTGTACAGAAAAAAAAATGAAAACTAGTATCTTCCACGTGGGAGAATATTAGAGAAATCCCCTCAGTGGGAGGGAGAGAAGCCTGGAAAGAAACTGGAAGCAGCGGGGTGGAGGAGGCTAAGAGGGGTGTGTAAGAGGCAAATCCTGAGGTTGCAGCGTGACAGAGCAAGAAACCTACTCAGTACCGTTCTGCCCTGAACATCACGGCGGGCTGAGTGAACCAGACTTGTGTATTGACCTCAGAGACAGGCTGTCGGCAGAGACAACTACTCTGCAGCGAGTAGAAAAGCAACCAGCACAACTAGGCTTCTATCAGCGGGACCTGAGCGAATGTGGCCTTCATTCTCCCTAACTAATGGAAACATGGTAGTACGGCAGCTACTTCGGAGAAAAGCTGGCGCTAAATAGCGAAAGGAGGTGGAGTAGGCATCATTAAATGAAATAAAGAGGAAGAAAACATAGGCCTAGTAGCAGGAGAGGCTTTGCAACACAGGGCTTGTTCTCCCTGCCTTGCAGAAACCCTGCTGGGGGGGAAGCTGGGGGCAGCAGGCTGCCCCTGCCTGCCAGCCCATGCAGTTCCTCCACAGCCTTCCTCTGGGACTGCCCGCTTGCTGACAGGGAATTTACTCACGAGCCTACACACAGGACCTGCAGGCACCAGGGCCCTCTTTTCTCCTCCCAGGTTTAGCGAAGCCGTATTACCACAGATGCTTCCCGCCGGTGAGCTTTTGGGGACTCCCTTCCAGTTGAGGGTTCTACCAGTGTGGATAGGGCGGGCTGGGGGTGGGAGGGGAATCTCCCCCTCTCTCTCTGAAGCGAAGCAGTCGCAGAGCAGCGAAGGCTGTCGCAGACCGTGCCAGAAAGGACGTGAATGAGCACTGCTGCTCCATCAGCGTGGTCCTTTGTGCAGAGCCCAGCTCACTAGAAAGAAGCAAACTAAAGCATCCGGATGCACGGCTATTTCATACACGTGCAGGGCTACGCCGCACAGGCCAGCTACACGCTGCTGCTTAACTGTAGTCCAACTGTTTGCACAGACGCTTCACTGTGAAAAAATGAAAGTTTTTGAGAAGCCTGGATGTGCGTCCATGCATTTAATCAGCTACAAAGGTAGCAAGGTAGAGCATGTACCCTATAAATATTTTTTTAAGCCCTTAAAAAAACCCAATCTCTTCTACTTTAAGTTACAATGCCTTCTTAATGCAACATGCATGGGACGAGACAACATATGGACCTACATGTACATACATAATAGACATTCTGAGCATGACCTGTAAGAATCCCACTCCCAGTACAAAAAAGTACCCAAATGCCAGACCAAAATCTCCCCCAAGAAGGTGGCAATGTTCTATTTACAAGAAAATATTGCTTCAGTTAAAAATGCTAAAAACCATTCTCTCGAGTTCATATAAAAATAATCGTGTCTATGTATGCACACACATATTTACATACATTTATGGCTTTCATGTGCTTCAACCGTCTCCAATAAATAAGGAACTATAAATACTCCATTACTGCTTTTTCTCCTCCTCAGGGTTTTCAGCCTCTGCTTCTCCAACTGATAAGGTGCCACTACCATATTTTTTCACTCGGGTTTCTACTCTGGCAAGTCTCTGCTTCACCTTTTGTTGAGATGAGGTGTATTCTGCCAAGAGCCTAGCAAACCTAGTCTGCAGCGTATCCAGAGCTGTTTCAAGTCTTTCTACTTTTTCTTCCAAGTCTTTTGGGTCAGCTCCTGCTTTTGCTGCTTCCTCATCTATTAAATTGTCTTTCATCAGAATTTGTCGCCCTTTCTCTTCCAGAGCCTTTTTGGCTTCTGGATATTCTGTGAGGGCTTCCATTAAATCATCTTTAGACAAGCAGAACAAATCAGAATAACCAATGCTCCTTATGTTGGCTGTCCTCCTGTTGCCAGATTTGCTACCTTTGATGTTTAGGATGCTGATTTCACCAAAGTAGCTGCCATCGCTTAGGACTACAAATTGGGTTATGCCATCATCTGCCACCACAGCTAATTTTCCCTCTTTAATAATGTACATTTCTCTCCCAATATCTCCCTTTTTGCAAATGTAGTCCCCAGGACTGAAGACCGTAGGTTTCAGTTTCAGCACCAGCTCAATGAGAAGTCCAGCTTCACAATCCTGGAATATACGCACTTTCTTCAGCGTGTCCAGATGGACATTGATAGCGATTTCAGCCTTCAACTTGTCAGGCAGATTTTTGAGAACTTCCTTCTCATCCACTGTTTTCTTGTTGGTCCAGAGGTAGTCAAACCACTTAATAACCCTAGCTTCCAAATCCTTAGTCACTTTTCGGAAATGCATATACTGCTTAATGGAATCGACCTTGGCCTGGAACTCTGCCCTGGAGGCATTCATGTTGGAAATCATGGAGCCCACGTTACCGACAATGGTAGCGAAGATCAGCACACCCACCAGGAAGTCAATGACCACAAAGAGATACTCTTCATCTTTCACTGGGGGAGGTGTTTCTCCAATGGTTGTCAGCGTGAGCGTTGACCAGTACAGACTGTAAATGTACTTTCTAGACAGGCGCCCGTACTCTGGAATGGACACGTTGGGGTAGACCCAAGTGTCAGTTCCAAATCCAATGAGCTTCGAAATTGCAAAGTAAATACACGCGTTCCAGTGGATGATGATAAGAATGTATAAGACAAGATTTCCAATACGAAACATGTTTGGATAATTCGTCCTGGTTTCTGTACGGTCAAAAAACTCAAAAAGCCGAGAAATCCTCAGCAAGCGGTTAAATCGCAGTTCAGGGTAGTTCAAACCAAGCTTCAGATATGCCAGGTCTGTTGGCAGAAGAGACAGCACATCCAGTTTGAACTGCATGGTTTTGGTATAATGATCTCGTAATTTCTTTTCATCCTGAACTAGTAAGCCTTGTTCAAGGAAGCCTTCAAGGAATAAAAATACAAATTTTACTTGTTAGAATGAAAGCGCAGTTCACAATTACCATCAACAGTACTGAATGACTTACATTTCAGACACCTGAGAACATTAAAACTTGTACTGTTATGCATACAAACATGATATACTATGAGTTCACTTAATGAAAAATATTTAATTGCAAATTTAAATATTTCAACGATGTTTCAAAACTGGTAATGACGTAGGGCAATGACTCTATTATTATCACAGTGCTCCCCACAGTTTTCCACTCTATTCTGGGACAGCTGTATCTTTGTCTTTTAGGTATGTTTGCAAAAAGAGAGGGGAGATTCGAATGTCTCATTCTTCTTGAATCATTGGCACGAGTCATAACTAAAGTTAAGCAAGTGTTAAGCAATTGTGTATAAAATTGGAGTGGAATATTTTTAAATAAATGCCAAGAATAAGTAGGTATAAAGGACTGGGGTTTTTCTCAGAACAACACAGACACCCTTGAGATAATGAAATCCATTTTTTTTCCCGCCAAGCCATGCTTTTTCTCTTGTTAAAAAGATGTTAAAAGTGACAGTATTTTCCTTTTCATTCAGGGAAAGTGGTTTACATTTTTTTTGTGTTTCTAGTAAGACAGCTACTAAGCAGAATTTTGTACATTGGTATCTCTTAATTCAAAACACTTTGGACAGTACTATATTTTAAGAATTACTGGAAGGCATAAACTGTGGTAAGAGACCTTAAAACAAACTGCATCTGTGTAAGGGTTCTCAGAGAAAGGCTGCTTGAGCAGTACAGCTGCAGTGCCATTTTGTACCTCTGAAAGCTCAAGGCATTGAAAATGTTCCAGAGGGAACAGCCTATGCACTGCAAAATACTTGCTGCAATTGCAAGCAGAGATGTCCAACTGTCTGCCCACTGGGCCAGTCAGGAGGAGAAGTCCACTGAGAGAAAAGCAAAACATTCCCTGTATATCAGGGATTATCACATTTTGCTAATCCCTTAGCAAGCTACAGGCAGCAGCTTTCTCAGGGAAGCACCTGCCGAGGAAGACCAAGCTGCATTTCTTTCTGTCCTACACAGTACGGCTGTATTTCTGGAATGTGTGCATTTCTGTACAGCTGCCTCATGTATATGCATGTATTTGTCTTCAGGTACCTGCAAACTGATGGTGACTACAAATGGAAGTACTTCTTCTGCCATGGATGTGTTACCTCCCAGAAAACTGCTGAAAGAGCTGGTCAAACATGCCCTTATTAACAGAGTTATGCAACTAAACAAAAAGTTGCCAGGCAGATGAATTTCTGACTCATAATGCTTAAAAATAACTTTGACAACACCTTCCTACTGGAGGGAGAGATAAAAGCCCTTCAGCTCTTTTTTGTCCCCTCACAGACCTGGAGTCGTATAGTAAAACCTTTTGAAAGCATCAAAATGCAGGGTATACTAAACATCACCAGCTGCTGAGAGACATGAATCTTTTCTGCTTCACAGTACACAGTCACAAAAAAGGTGAAATACAGTGAAACAGGCCCTGCAGCTAGCCAGTAGCGTGCCACAGAGAAGCTGCCATGCGGGTCATGGTAGTTGTGGGGCTACCTAGATCCCAGTTCAAAGCCACTCCCTGCCCTTAGACAGCGGGGTCCAAAGGCTTCCCAGACCTTTGTCCCCTGGGCAGATGGACCTTGCAGACTTACAGAAGGCAGCAGGCACTAGCGGAGCCAGGAAGGGTTGTTAAGCGAGTCGACAAAGATTTCAACACCTAAAGGATGTGACTCCCATATTCGAGTACCTGAAACTGCAGCAGACACCCTGCACTGAAGCATTCAGGAGATCTCGGTGGCAATTCTGCAGTTCCAATCCAGGCCTGCAAAGCCAGCCTTCTAACCATGCTTTAACAGCTGTACAATCATTATCAGGACAGCCCTGGAAAGTTTATAACTTGCATTGCCTGTACATGCCCAATTTCTGCTCCGTTCGTTCCCGTTACAATAACAGATATAACTGCAGAAGAGAAATTTAGTGGGCATAGTTGACTTTTTAACTACACAAAGAAGATGAAGGACCACCCCCCCCCAAAAAAAAAAAAAAGTCACTCATGATTTAGACTGCTATCTGAAATAGATTTTTCCTGTTGAACAAGGTACTTGCTAATTTTAAGACTTTGGCTTGCTATGAGTTGTGTGCTTCCCAAAGTGACAGCATTTTTAGCCTGTTTTGTAATTATGTTTACAACTTGTCACAAGCCATAATTAATGTCAAGCTGTCAGCATGATTTAAAAAAAAAAAAAAAAGAACATATAAAAATCAAAGATTTAAAAGAACTCTCATTTTTATAATGATCAGTGCAGTTCTGGACCCATTCATGGGTCATTTTGGGGCTGCGTCCGTACCAGTAAAAGCCGGGAAACATTTTCTGGCCCTGAGGTCAGCTACCATGACAGCTTCTATTTACATGTGAGTTCTCCCAGCCCCGTCCAAAAATTACACCATGAACGATATCCAACTTCTGCTGTCCTCTCAGCTGTGCCCAGACACCGACTGAGAGAGTGCTAGCTGGCGTAGACCAAAGTGCGTGCACCAAAGCACATCAAGGACTATTCTAGCAATGTCATGGTATGGATCACCGTATGTCATTGCTTAGGCCTTCACTTCAGCTTCCCAAAGCCTCCATTGTTGGGTTCTGCTGGAGACAGGATACTATACTGGTCAGACCCCACAGGGGAATTTCTGTTTCCGGACTTTATACTCATGCTGTGTCTGAAAACACTGTAAAACCCCAGAAAGACTCACCTGTCCTGAATCTGACAAACATGTCAAGAACATAGATGGTATCAGAGGTATAATCCAAGACCAGCCATAATTTAATATGGTCAAATTGTAGTTCATCAAAGCAGGCTCTAAAGAAACAAAGATACAAAAAAAAAAAAAAAAAAATTACACCAACTGTGTAAGCAGATTACTTGCAATGTGTGTCCTAGCAGCATGTTAGTGAACATTACCGGCATTGAAAAATTAAGGGCAGCATATCTCTACGCTTAGACATCTGCACACTAGAGCTACGTCTAAACAGACACCAGGATCTTTCAGAATTCAAGGGTGGTCCGGCCAGGAGCAAAACTCAAACACATATATGCCACACAAGAGCACTTATGGAGGAATACACACATCCCTACAGTTAAACATGCATCAGATTTCATGGGATATACATCTCCATTAAGCTAATTCCCAAATAGAGAGTTGTTTCTCAGTGGCAAGCCATCCTCATCTCACCCTGCCATCTGACGCAGCCTAAGCGAACCGTTTCCACAGCACTCCGTTACTTTGACTCAAACTGATTTCCACATTTTACGAGGGAAAAGAAATACTTGAGTAAAATCCTCTTGCCCTTCAAGCATCTATAGACGCACGATATTAATTTAAGATGACCCAACACTGCCCACTCCCCTCCTTTCTATTCTCTACTGGGTGACTGGAAGACCTATCTCTAGCAGTGGTTACTGAGCCTGCGGTGGCCAAGGCACATCTCTGCAGCTAGCCAGTAGGTGGCACCCAAAGGCCACAGCCAGCGCTCATGAGGACGCCCATGGCAACTTATGACAAATTCTTTTCAGACAAAAAGATAAAAAGAAACATTGGCCATCTAGTCCCAGTGGTATACATATCGTATACATATACCCCTAAGGGTATGTGAGGTGTAAGTCTTCTGTAAGCCACCCAAAAAATACCGCAGGGAGATAAGAGGATGTTTTACATAGGAAACGTAATGAGACACTAAATTCGAAACCTAAAATTATCATTAACTTCAATCCATACCTGCACACTAGCATACACCAGTTATAGAACACAGGCGCAGCAATTATGGTCAGCCAGTGGTAGTAAATATTGCTTGAAGGATCTATCACAAAGATCTCTTTTTTCTTCCTAGAAAGTAAAATGTGCATATTTACACTGGACAGGTAATGAAGTGACCTGCTGGATCTCCCTCTTCTGGAGGCTGCTCATCTCATGATGAATTCACAGCTGTCTAAGAAGAGAAAGTATCCATGCAGGCAGCTCCAGATGAGACACCAAACATCAGCTTCATCCCATCCGACATGCTCTTTTTATTTGCTTGACCCAGCTTTGGAAAAAGTAAGAGTGAGGGGAAAAAAACAGACATTCACATTGCCCAGGCTGAAAACCACAGCCTTTCCGCATATGACCCCCACTGAAAAAAGTAAAACGTTAGACATTTCTTATTATCATTCCAGCTAGAAGGCTACGGTCCATTGCTAGAGAAAGAGCCTTCCTTTGCAGATTAATTTTGATGGTTTTGGCAAATCCTATTATGGAAATGACTGCATGACCACACATTTAACCGAGTAAAACACATATGTATTCAAATACATGTTTACACAAGTAAGACTCTGTGTGTGCATACACACATATAGCGTGTGACTAGAACTAAAACATGTATTATTACGTAAAAACAGATTTCACACATTCAGAGTCCTGGCTCCCTAGGCCTCAAAACAATGAGAGACGCTAAATGAAGTGTACAGGCCTGGAATTTAAAGTAGATTTAAAGAACAGTATGGCTAATAGCACATGTAGAGTATGTTCAGAAGTACCCTTCCCCAGCATGGAAAGTTGATATGAAATAGGCAGCAATTAGACATATTGTATGTAATCAGAGGAAATATGTATCAGTGGTCCACAGCTGCAGAAGTTATTCCAACAGTAACATATAATAGTATGATCTGTGAACTGTAAAATAGTGTGGGGAATATGTGACCGGGCAATGCTTGGATATGTGTTTGTGTGACTCTTCCTAACCTCCAAGAATGTAAATATATTAAAATGTAATGATAATTTATTTGATATTTGTGTGTATTTCTGGCATTATCCCTGCTGTCAGCTGAATGTCCAGATGATAATGCTAGTAAAGGAAGCAGTTTTAGTCCAAAAAGTATTTACTTTGCTATCTCCAGGACAAGTTTTGAGCCATTTCTTCTAAAAAAATGGTTACCACCTAAAAATCAGTGACCATGAAATATGGACTTCATATGACAGAGTACACTACCTTCTAGACATTAAAACATTTATTTTCTTTGCTGAAATGTTTTAAAATGCTTCACACTACTGCAAAGCTCACTACATAGTAATTGAAGATGCAAGAGCATCCTTAGAACAAAGGTTTTCTAACCAAGCAAAGCTTTGATTAAGAAAGTCAAGATCTTGAGATCAAGCAGATTCCATTTGGAAGCGATTCCTAACTACATGTCCCCATCCCTCCATAGCCCATGCCACCATACACATAGCTATAAACTTGCAGTATATTACTCTAACATACTCCTTAACTGTGAAGTTCACTCAAATGCATTCTCTTTTTATCTGCTATCATTGTTATTTTTAATGACTGTTAATACTAAATTGTACTATGTTGGGTCAGCTTTGGGGGAACAAAACAAGAGCAGGATCCATTTCTGCCAAAGGCATTCAGATGATCTCATTTTGTTGCAGAAATACAGCATCTCCTAATCAGCAGAAGCAAACTTTAGTGATGACTAGTAATGAACTGCAACATATTAAGTAATTTAATATGCTGGTCAGTGTAATAACTAAACTTATTAGTAAATCTGTAATTTTCTACATGTAAGATTTTTGCTCTTTGTCCAAACCAGACTTTTGCTTCATCTGCTCTGAATCATTATGGACATTCTGGAACAATGAAAAGCCTGTGCAGCTTTGCAAAGCAGGCTGCTATCCTCAAATGCCCTCATAGTAAAAAAGTGATCTTCAACAGCAAATCAAAGTGACCAGAGGTAGCTGAATTCCCTTTTACTGACCTAGGAAGCTGTTCATGACAGGTTTAAACACAGGTCTTAAAGATGCAACAAGTTTGTTGAGCAGTTGCACCTTTCCAAAGGGGAAAACATATTAAAGATTGGACAGGCTAACATTCTGCAGCCTACAGTACAATAATTGTCATGGAAGTGTTACGATGAAATGCTGTACCATGCTTTGTAGCGCAGGAGGTGTGTTACAAACACACATTCACTCTTTATACTTACTCTTCTTTTTTTTTATCATCTTTTTTGTCATCTTTTTTGTCATCTTTCTTTTCCTCTTTCTTTTCCTCCTTCTTTTCCTCTTTCTTGTCCTCTTTTTTCTCCTCTTTAACCTCTTTCTTTTCTTCCTTTTTGCTGTACAACATAATGTAAGGCTTAGCAATGTTACTGATGTTTTAGCAGTTAAGGGAGAGGGTGGCTGTTGAGGTGCAGGAAACTAGACTAGACTCTGGACAGAGTAGGACAGGGATCCAGCTGGTAAAAATGGTTTACCGGCTGAGGTCTCTCGAACTGACAGCACCACACTATCACATCAGGTAACCAGCTGGCTGATTCCGTGCATTAGTCACCCTTGCTTTCTTGACCTTTTCAGACATCAGTGTACCAGGCTGATTTTAATTAAATGCTTCCAGTTTGTTTCGTTCTTGAGAACCCAGGCATTTAAAAAGAAATCTATCAAATTATAATAGAACTTGAAATGGCTGAACAAACTGTCAACATTCTTTGCATATCCAAAACCTCACAGTGACTGTCTGAAGCTTTAATGGTAATTAAATGAAATGAGGCTGAATTTCCTCTCACCGTTCTTTGAAACCAACAGAGCTATAATTAATTAATTACCTCTGGCTTCAACAATTGCCTTGGAGAAGAATCCCAGTCAATGTTTGAACAAAAGCAGCAAATGTAGAGAAAAGAGGTGTGTCTCATTTAACTACATAGTAGTCACTTTATAAATGCTTTATAGTCAACCTATTTTAGACCTCTACAGTAGAGATATACTGTATCTACAAGATAGTCGATATCTCATAGTCCATATCTATGAGATGACTTGTGCCCCAAAAGCATTTTTTTCTTTCTATCAACTGTAAAGGAAGAATGGACTGCCTGGTTCAGATGCAGGTGTCTATGTGTGATCAGAGGAGCCATGCCCAAGTTGTTCTGCCTGTATTTGATTGCCACTGTATTCAAAGGCTGAGCATTAAGTTCCACCCTTGCTAAAACCAACAGGAATCTGCCTAGACTTAATGGAATCATGACTGTCCCCATATTTGTTAACTGCTTTTCATGCAATAAAGTAAAATATGGCCCATTTAACATAATTATATCCTACCATTCCATAGTATCCAGCACAGACTCAAGCTGCAAGATTTAATTCCAGCTAATGGATTTTCATACTGCTCAAGTATGTACAGCCTTTAGTTCATTAGAATGACATAAGCCAGATATAAAGATAGATCTGAGTTCCCCCATTCTTAGGTTTGTCTGAACAGAAGTCTTTAGCTATGTTAGCTTATGCAGATAGGCACACGCACCCTCTTCAAAACTGCAAAAAGTTAATGTCTTTCCTAAGATTCTGTCAATACTTAATCTTAGAGCTAAATTTGCTACATGCATTGGTCAAGAATCATGTAAGCTGAATAACTGCACTCATTTGCACAAGCAGAAAATCCATCATCTGAGATCTCCCTGTTTTGTATTTGAAATTTATTCCTTGAAGCAGAAAGTGTCCCTATTAGACTAAACGTTCCTGACACTACAGTATATGTGGATAATGAATACATAAACATAACTCTCCATGCATAAGGTCTGGTTTGGGTGAAAGCCATGGCCTCCTGCTCCCATGTGAGCTACATATTCTCCTCTGAATTGCCAAGATTGGGTCTGATTCTCCCCTTGCACTGGTATCAATAAAGGACAAATTAGTTCAATGACAGCAATATCCCACAGCAAAGACAGAATATATAATATCAGTTGGAAAAAGTGCTGCTTACAGGATTTAAACCAACAGGTAAAAAGTTTAGTGAGCTCACTTGTGCTTTTCATGTATACTTGCTTGTATTACTCAGATCAGAAAAAGTCTGCTGTGAATGGCAGTCCTGTCTATGAATGTGCTTGTTACAGGGAGAAAGAAGCTCTCCAGGGGAGAAGACAACAGTCACCAACTTCAAGATAGTAGTAGCTTTCACCTATCAGCAACGAGCACCTGTTCCAACTCTTACCCTTAGGCATTTCCATAGTGATGCAGCACCACGGTGTAATTCAGAAAAGCCCAGGCTCGTTTCCTAAAAAATGCTGAGATCCTACACTCCTCCATATCCAGGGAAATACTTACCAACCTGACTAGCCCCACTGAAACCTTTAAAATCATACACTGCAAGGGAGCATAACTGGAGGAGAAAAGAACCTTTGGGTTGACTGATCTTCTATTTATACCTGCATCTCAACTCAAAGAAACAGTTTTTCATTTACCAAGGCTGATTTCTACATGGCAGTAGGAATTGCTGCTCAAGTATTTATTTCTCTGCCACTGCCCCCCCTGGACTTCTATGCTTTCTCTTTCAAATCTGCCTCCAAAACTCCTTATTTAAAAAACATGCCAGGATTTCACTGCACATTACTATGCGTGGCACCTGATCTAAAGACCAATTCACAGGTGCTGTTGTTAGCATTAACATAGCTCCTCAATACTTCAAGTGTCTGGCATTCTTACCAGAAAGGAAGAACTACGAGTAACGTAATTTTCAAAGGGTAGGGTCACTGTACATTTGCAGATGTTGCTATGCAGGGAAAAGTAGGTTGAGATAGACAATCAGTCAAAAAGTCTCAGTGGTGGTGAACTTTGGAGGGAATATTTTGGCCATTCCAACTTCCTCCTACGTTTTGTTTTAAAAAAGAGAAAAAACATTATTTCACACAGCATCTAACACCAATACTTCTTTTTCTCTGGCCTGAGATCTCCTACAAACTCACGTCAACTACAGGTATCTTTCATAAGTGAGATTCTTCCATTTCTGTGGCCTCTGTTCATCTCTCTGTTGTGGTACCTCACAACTCCCACCTACTTGTAGTTTGGTGGTGGAAGTCACTCAGAGGAAAAGGCTGGCCATAATCAAAGCCTTGAAAGCATCACCTACATTTCCCCAAGGGCAGGCACTCTTAGGTCTTTAACATAATGAAAAACCCAAAGCTTCAAAAAGACCTGCATCTTTTTTTTCTTTATTAGTGCTACTGAGTAAACTGGAATCCAGTAACTAATAAAACTGTTGTTTGTGCCTGTCGTCTTTCACAACAATACAGTGGCACCCATTCTGTGTTTTCAGCACATTAAAAGGAGCATGCTTGTTCAGACTTAGAAAACATGTCTTCATCAGCCCCTATAAAAACACTGTCATAGTCTTTGAATAAGTCAAATATTTGCATTTCTCATCTGTCAAGTACTTTGCAAATCAAGTATGTTTCAGACTGTCAGGCAGGTAGACAGACAGGTGTTGTCTTCATTTAAAAATAAGGAAACATTGGAAGGATGAAAGTTTTGCTCAAGGTACATGAGTCATTGTCAGAAACAGAGTAAGAAAGCAGTATTTCCATCCTAATCGGTCCTTTGGGCTCAGACTAGAAGACTAGGCTTCAGGCTTTTAGCACTTTTTTTATACCAGTCTAAATAAAATTCTGCACATTTCTGTCACTGTTCACTGCACATTGATTTTCCTTTTTAATAAAAGTTATGCAAACCAAACCAAAAAGTTGCTTCAGGAGCAGGAAGACCTCTTGTTTAGGTAGTTTAGGTATGTGCACAAAGGTTTTGCAGCATCATTTAAAATGTACAGTTTGAGCTTGCCTGTGATGGAGCTATTTGGGGAAAAAAACAAGAGTTTCCTAAAAGCATTTCTGATATAATCAGAAACTGTCCTGATTATTTTTAATTTTTGTTCTCATCTGGAAAGCAATGAGAAAAATTAACTATCATCATACGTGAGAAGCTGGGTACTACAGAGCAGATCTGCCCTCAGATAGCTGTGGTCTAAGACATGCAACAAACATTGGTGTTGGACGATTTTAAATTACAGGAGCTCTTCACCTTTTCAAGAGATTTCTCTTTGGTGTAACACTGAAATATCTTCTCAAATACATAAAATAGACTCCAAAGGACAGCTTCTTCTGTCAGAGCTTCTGTTGCAATGCAAGCCTTATTATGTTGCCTGTCATTCACTCTACATCTACACCAACAATATCTGCTGAACTGAAACACACATTTTAAAAAGATGGTTAGTTTTCATTTAGACTGCACACATGAGTGTTTTCTTGGTACCCTGATCAGTATCTACTCATTTGACAACCTGAAATTTTTGGGGCACTTGATTTGCAAAAAGGGATTAGTATGTTAAAAGAGGAAAACCACTATTAGAAAATTAATACATGAATCTCATTTAAAAAAATGAAGAATTAATAAATCAATTGGCAATGCAGTAAAATCAGCCAGCTGAACTAGAGGAGGTAGGGACTAAATGCTTAATCAAATTCAATCCTTGAGAGGTAAGGGTAACTTCAGACAAGAAGATGTTCACAAGGAGCATGAAGGATGCTTTTCACACTAAGAAAACTAGATCTTTCTTTATATTTAAACTATATTCTTAGGAGAGGCTTAGGAAGAGATAAGGAGTTTATACTACAAATGCTACTAGGCTGGAAAGGGAAAAGAGAAGGAGCTAGTAGTAGAAAGGTGTTTGGAAGTTATCAGTACTTACTCTTCATTGGTGTTGTTGCTATAGTTGACATTAAACCTGGCCAAGGGCCAGTGACTGCAGCAAGTTAAATAAAACACATTAAAGAGTGTAAAGACTGTTGGTATTTCATACACGTGTTTACCGACATGACGGACTGACTTACTAGCTTCTCACATATGCATTGATAAGATTAGGAAGGTCAACTCTGACTGCAGTGATAAGCCCCTTTGCATAACTATTTCAAGGCACCAGGTTTTTTTTACCATGTGTTTGGCATACACATTTGTGACCACATCTGATCTCTGAAGCTTGTTCTCAGGCGTATTAGTGCATGGCAACATGCATCTCACTATTTTTAGCCCTGTACTCATTTGGCTACTATTTTAATCTTTCTTCAATCCTTTCAAGTCTTCTTCACAGATGCAGTGCCAAGGCTTGTGGATAAGTAACAAGCATACCTACCAGTGCTGCAGAATTAAGCCTTCATGACAGAACAACCGGGAGTTACTGTCAGGTGGCAACAGTGTAAAACTGAGAAGACAAGGATGGATACTCCTAAATTCACTTCTTCTGATAGCCTTATATAGAGGCTTGTTGGACCAGGATCAATGTTGTCCTCTCTAATTACTTCAAATCTGCCATTGCTACTGATCCAGATGTCTGAAAAATCAGACAACAGTCTGGCTAATTCAACAAAATGTGCTTTTGAGCTGAATTTCTAAGGAGTAGATCAAGTGAAGATAATAAGGCTGTGCTGGACCACAACAAATCAAGGTAACCTGTATCATGAACAGCCCTTATAGAATCATAGAATGCTTTGGGTTGGAAGGGACCTTTAGAGGCCATCCAGCCCAACCCCCCTGCAGGGAGCAGGGACAGCTTTAACCAGATCAGGTTGCTCACAGCCCCGTCCAGCCTGACCTTGAATGTTGCCAGGGATGGGGCCTCTACCACCTCTCTGGGCAACCTGTTCCAGTGCTTCATCACCCTCATTGTAAAAAATTTCTTTCTTATGTCTAGTCTAAATCTATTCTTCTTTAGTTGAAATCCATTATTCCTTGTCCTGTCACAACAGGCCTTGTTAAAAAGATTCTCCCCATCTTTCCTGTAGGCCCCCTTTAAGCACTGGAAGGTCGCAATAAGGTCTCCTCGCAGCCTTCTCTTCTCTAGGCTGAACCTTCAAAGGTGCTTGCTTTGATCGGAATTACTAGCTGAGATTTTGAAACAAATCAACTTAGTACTTGCTTACCTACTTTAACTATGCAAAAAAGTATCAGAGTCTATGCTTCAAAGCATAACGCCAAACAGAAAGTCAACTTTTGTCTTGGGACTTCATTTTCCTCTTTCAGCTGGAGTTAAATTTAAAACACTGTATCATATATTTATAAAGTAATAATAATTCATCAAGTCAAAAGACTGTAAACACATAAAGGTTTCTCTTGCAAGCCTCTGTTGTTTTATTGGAAAAATTTTAAGATAAGACTGAACCTGCCTTCCATACTAAACACTATGTGCTAATAAGTCAGCAGCCAAAAGGTTTTCTCATTTCTGCATCAGAAGCCTTCTGTAATGTTAGCAGCTGAATTCCTGAGTAGGTGTAACAAAGCAATGACACGTTTTGCACAACTGCTTGTTTGGAGTTTCCTAACACTCACAGATAATGTGCATAACATTAACATCCTGAAAAGCCACAACTAGCAACATCCTAGATTCTTGAAATAGAAATTGCATTCATCCTCAGTACAGAAGAGTTTAGCAACATCAAGTTGCACAGCTAGCATGTGACAAAATTCCAGTTCTGAAAAACCATTCTGCCTGAAGCAGCATGATCAAAATCCTTTACTTCATGATCTTTGCCACAGTGCATTTGAAGGGGAAAGAGAAAGTCTGCTGAAAGCCATAATACTTCAGTTATGTGAAGATTCCTGGGCAGCATTAGATACTCTGTTCATCTCCCATGCTAAGCTCCTTACCTTCTTCTTAAAATAAAACTTAGATCCTAATCACCAAGATAATACCATAACCTCAGTCGTCTTCCTTTAAAGTATAAACACATCTTCTTACCTGTTTACTCCCCCAGGCCGCTCACGGATGCCCAGAAAGGAGCGGATGTTACTTTGCCTACTGGACACCTCTATGAGCTCTGGCCCTCGGATACGTTCTAGGAAAGAATCAGGTCTTTGGTCTTCATGGTGCAAATGTCTTGTGGCCCATGACCTCACAGATATGACAAATCGTGATAGCCTGCATGGAATAGACATACAACATTGACTGAAACAGATGAGAATATCAGATGGCTTAAATCGTCCCCACAAAGAGTAGCACATGAGGATTTTTCTCCACTTCTCCACCTGCCATGAAATCAAACTTGATGGATTAACTGTGTGAACCCAGACACTTCCTACAATTTCATACGTCACCTTTTGCAGTGGATGAGGAAAGTATCTCACACACCAGTTCCTAGTCCACTGTACCAGCACCACAGGAGCAACAGAAGAATATTCTTGCCAGGTGGAGGCAAACCAAGTGGTTGGGGTGGGGCAGTCGACAAACTTCTGACATGTGATAATGGGGGAATCCTGGACTGACAGAATTAGGAGATACAAAATACTCACAGGATCACACGCTCAAGGGCTGGTACACACAGTGGAAACAAAAGCTGAATAGTTGGTGAGGGAGGATGGACTTTGAAATAAGGAACAATAAAAATTCAGCCACTTCCCCTGTGATTTTAAAGGGTCTTTCTGCAGACATATTAATTGCCTATCACATATAAACCTGCCTACTGCATAGCAAGCACTATTTCCTCATCCTAAATTCTAGCAGAGCACTGAAATGAGATAAGCAAAAAATCATGACAACGTAATTAATTTGTCACTGTATCATTATGTATCTTTTTCTCCACCCACTAATTTACATTATGAACCTTTACGATGTTTTCTGTCAAAATTCAAAAGGAAACATGTTTCTGAAAAATCGAAAATCATGGAGACTGAAGTCTAGAAAAGTAATTATATTTATTACCCACACAATATATTGTATCATTTCCTATCAGCAGTCTAGTTTGGACAAAAGTGGTATTAATTCAGGTTTCCCAGACTTGGCCTTGAAAACAGCGTAATGAAATCCTGAACAATGCTTAACTTCTTAGAGAGTGCTTGGGCTACTCAAGGAAAGCTCTTTGCATTCTCTCTGCATTGGCCAGTATTACATAAGCTCAGGATCCACAAAGAGGTTGATATGAACAATTTAAATCTTATGGTAAAGTACATCTGCCTCTTGATTGCAGTTCTCAAAGGCCTAACTACACCTCGTCCTAGATCTTGCCCAGGTTCTCTTACCCTGAAATAAAAAGGACAAAAAAGGCAGGAATAATATCGCATATCAGAAATTAGAAAAAGGTATTTCTAGTTCTTTAGTGCTATACCAAGATAGCATCATATAAATAACCTACAGTTTCCAACAATTAAGAGAATCCAAAGCCTACCAAGAATGCAAAAGAAAAGAACAGTTCCACATAAAAGTCTGAGATTATTTAATAGATTCCTCACCCTATTCAAAAAACACTGCATAAAATTAAGCTACAGAATTTTTCTCTTTGCCTGAGCAGAACTCAGCTTTCACATAAGGAGTGGTATGGAAAACTACTAATATGGATGTTCTTACTTACATTAGAAAATAAAGCATTTTGATGAGACCTGTTAGTTAAGGAGCAGATTTTACCGAGTAAGATCAAGAGCCTCTCTATTTGAACAAAGAAATAGAGCTTTCTGATTTCTGCCATGCTATATTATTTTCACATTTTTGTCCTTTACATCTCAAAGTAAGATACTCAGTGAAGCCTATCAGATGCTGTTGTCTTAGGACCTTGAGAATTAAGAGGCATGTTATGTTACGACAATATTTAAATTGCTAAGCATTCGTGTTTTCATCACAGGCTTCCTTGTACATTCAGAGCATAAATAACTGTAGCTACACAAGTGTCATTCAAACTATCCTGAAAAAGGGTAAAGAACAATATAAACAAAGATTAAAAAGGAAGTTCTCAATATGAGTTTATATATTCATGTGCTTTATGTTTACATGAAACACATACTTATAAATGTTTTCCACCTAAAACCAACTTCTTGCAGGCTTTGTAATCTACACGCAGTGGTGTCACCATCTGACAACCAAATAGGGAAATGCAAGTTTATTTTGCACCGTCCAAAAGGCTGAAGTGTAAATAACACTCTTAAAAATACTCTAGTTTTATAACAACTTTTTCCTTTGCTCTTTGACATACACTATCCTTAAACTGCGTATGGTCTGTATTGTGTATAACAATGGTATCCAAACACGAACTTTATAGTCTCAGCTGGAAATATTTAAAGCAGACACAGTAAGTTTTTGAAGCTCCACTTGAGGTTTAAGTCCCAGTAAAGTAAGTCACTTAAGCAAATGGTTGACTTGAATTTTGCTGACTAAGGCTCCCAATCCATTATAAACATAACTGGATTCTAAAAACTGAAACTCTTACACTCCCAACACAACAGCCCCCGCCTCCTCCCTTGCCAGAGCCATCTCCCAACATGGGAACAATCATTATGTCTTATTTGATAAGAAACAAACATCGCATCAGCTATCAGCCAGAACGAAACACTTAAGTGTTCAAAAACCAGGTAGATGTGGCACTTCGGGACATGGTTTAGTCTAGTCTACCCTTGATTGATTTAGAGTAGACTTGGTAGTGTAGGTTAATGGTTGGACTGGATGATCTTAAAGGTCTTTTCCAACCTAAATGATTCTATCCATTTACTTTACAGTGTGGCTTCACTTCATGCATTTCCTCAGCGTTCAATATATTTTCAGATCTGATCAAATAATTTTTTTTTTTTTTCACTCAGACTAATTTGTGTGAGCTCATTCAGCATCTCTAGGATTCTAGCGTCTTTATTAGCAATGAGTAAGCAATGAGTTCAGAATCCAGGTCAAAAGCAGCTTCTGTTACTTTTAATAGACTTTCTTCAGCTGGACTCCACCCATTTCCTTTGGAAAGTATTCTCTTTCAACAATTTAAACTTAATACTGAAAATGGTGTTAGTTAGCAGGTTACCTTGCCATTGCTCCCCTGCCTGTGAATGAGCTTGTCTGGGATTCAGATAGATGTCTCCCCTCCGCAGAAATGACTCTCTGCAGTTCCGAAGACGCATCCTCACACAGTGAATGGGTTCTGCAAAAGCAAATCTTTTTTAAGAATTCCATACAGCCTCCAGCAGGCTTCCCCCCATCTGATTCTTTCCACCACTACATCAGGAAACAACACAGCAAATTGTCCTCGTCCTAGTAATATGGCATACATTTGGTAAACGTAAAGCTAAGCCTATATTCCTACTTTTAGAGCCATCCAACAGGAAATGAAGACAGTGGAGGCTCTGCCATCCACTCCAGCAAGCTCAGAGGCTGATTCCTTGCTGGTCAGTACTACTCTGGTGTGCAGATACACAATTATGGGAAGCATGTTTTCTACTCCAACACCTCCTGTAAGGCATCGGCAGCCTTCCTTCAACACAGAGTTCATCCCCAGGGGGCTTTAAACTGACTGCCCACTGTTTTTTTCAGTGTTGTTCTCCTAGAGATTTCTTGGGTTTAACACTCTGGAATTTCTACCAGTGTGGTTCCTTTTTTATGATTCGAAGCAAATACGCATCTCATTTTGCTTTCACTCTTGCTTGGATTGAAAGGGAAAACGGTGATTTCACAGTAGTTAGTCCTGAGCAGCAGGACTGCTGGTCTTACCAGCCTGTTGCCGCCAGCTGCACAACTGCAGGCCTAACGCTGCTCGCTTCGTAACTGAAACTTCACGCGTCACATCGCAAAACAGCTACAGAGCTTCAGGGCTGCTCTGGCAGCGATGAGATGAGGCACCTCAGGCTATTGCCACACATGGAAAATACTTACAACAGCCCCGTTGCATACAACTGCAGAGCGCGATTATAAAGTTAAGCTACCTGCAGTGTCTGCCAACTCCCATGAGTTCCTGTAAATGTAAGACTACTTATTAGCACTGAAATAATTAGCATTTGAGAAAAATAGATGAAATTTTAGCCTCATCTTTCAGTAATGGAGTTCTGAAATTGACTGCATTGGAACCTGGACTTTACCAGGGCTCGCTCTGGAATCGTTATGAGACTCCTAGGGTCTTCTCTGTGTTTTTCGTTCTTTAGTATTCACTTTTACAAGACCTTGTCACATCCATTAAGGATCTCTTTTCTCCCTCTTTGAAATGCAAACAAAAACTCTCACATGAGCCTGTTAATCTGTATTGCCAGGAAAACACTGTCTCTAATGATACTTGCAGCATCTTCATCAGAACTGGCAACAGCATTTTGAATGACCACAAAAGGATAATTAGCAACTCAATTTTGTGTGTACTCACAGCTGAGAAACTGACAAACAGAGAATTAAAACTTCATTATTTCTACACAAAGAACCATGCTAAAAAAAGATAGGTCCTGCCACTCCCAGAATCCTCAGCTTGTTAACTGTTTTCTTCTCTTCTAGTAAGAAGACACCAATAGACACTGCTTAGTATTGAAAAACTTTTATAACCTAGTGTTGTGGGTGCTGAGAATATTGTGGATGCCAAAGTTAACATGGCTTCTAAGGGAGAATGTGTTTTCTTAGAAAACAATTTTCAGTGTCACAATTGAGATATGAAAAAAAATTGTATTTTGCAGAAATAGATAGCCTTTCATGGAGGCTTAAGCCAGTATCTTTTTTTTTCCCCACATTTGGATGGATTAGAAGTTTGTGTTCAATCAGTGACTCAAATAATGAGGAGTATCTCACTATGTTGCAATAACCCAACTGCTTTTAGTAACATTAAACTGTTATATTTGCTCTAAATATAGGTAATTAAATATAAGGGTCACAAAATAGTGAATAATAATACAGAAAACAAAGTAAACATGGATCAAAATACTTTAGGTATCCTTCCAAGCAGAATTTAAAAAAGAAAAAAGATTGTTAGAGTTCATTCTTTATCAGTCTAAGAAAACCCTACACTGAGATCAGGCCCAGGAAATCAGGCCAATCAGACTTTTTCTGAAGTCTCAGAGGGAGATCTATTTCAATTTTATTAGCCTCTCTAAGCATACTGAAATACAATGAACACCACATGATGTTCTATTTTGATATAACTGTGCTGGTTTATCAGCGAGAACAAAAGCCAAACAGGAGTTGAAAACTGCTATCCAAAATGCACTGTTAACTCTCCTTCTTATTTCTGTTTTGGAAACTTGTTTTAGTCCCAGTCTCTTTTATTACTGACATTGCTGTGCTTGGGCATCTGCTGACAATAAATAAAAGGCTAAGAATGAAGAGCTCAGCTTTATTTTGAGTAAATGCCTAGGACAGCAATGCAGAATAGTGCAGAAGTAGCTGAGCGAGCTCTAAACAAGCTAGACCAGGTACCAAAAGCAATACTGTCCTGCTAGCTCCACTTAATCAGCACAGTGTCATACTTGCTAAGTACATCATCTGTTAAGTGCTTTGCGTGCGTGATCATCACCTCCATACTCCTCAGCAGTGTGGAAAGTTGTGCTCCGCTGGCCCTACACAGGCTCATCATATTTTGTGTGTCTGTAACATTGAGAGTTTTACCAACTGTCTGTCCTCTTGCTAGCAGCAGTTACAGAGCACTTAATGGCACCCTCTAAAACCCAATGTTTTCAATCCAGGGTATGGCTTTTGTTGTCTGGGGCCAGAAGTATGCTGAAGAAATGTTTTAATCTAAGTGAAAGAAAACGGCATGCTTAATGTGACCTGATCTGAACACCTTCCAATCTGATCCAGAGTCCCAAAAAACAAATGAAAAATTTCTAATTATTTAAATTACTCTCTGATCAGATTCTTACCAATAAGTGATCAGACACACTCACTGAAAATTTTGTATTCTGTAGGAAAAAAGGGCAAAACTCTCAGACTCAACTGCTGGAATCAAATTGGGCAGATTATGGACTCAACTAGTGAAATTTTGAAGTCTGTATTTTTATTTTGGTTGCTTGACTTTTTAAAATCAATTTTCTGATTACTCAATGTGTGCATCAAGAATTTCTACAACTAGGTTTATGTTATAGCTAAATACAACTATCTGTAAATAAATTCAGGTTTATCTTACCAAAAAGTTGTAACATGTGTAGACAACTCAGGAAAATCAAAATCATTTGGGGGAAACAGTACTAAAGGGTTTGCATTTCACTCTTACAAATACAGCTTATGTGTCTCTGCAACAGGATCAGCAAACAATAGACAAAGGCCAGGCAACTCTTTTGAAAGCATCTGTCTGATATTACACAGGAATCACAATCAATCACTTTAATTCACACAAATGCAAATCAAAAAGTAGATCTAAAATGAACTCTTCCTTCCATTATTATAATTCCCTATTATAGCTCCGTATTATGAAACTCATATACTCATTCCTGACTTCCCTCGACCCTGTTCAGATAATGCAAGAGACCTTATTTGTCAGCTGGCTTTATATTGATGCAGGACATTTATATTGATGAGGGACAGTTATAGACAGGGCTTTTGATGTAACACCTTCAATGCATGTGGCATGGTTTTTACTTTATTTTTACAAAGGTGGACTCATTCCCATCTGGACTCCATAAGCTTGTTTGGTATCATCTGCAGCAAAGCAGTAACCACTGCCATTACTATCCAAGGGTGTTACACGGCCTGAAATCAATGCAAGAAGAGAATATGCCGTGTGCCAAGAAATAAGGAGCAGGTTACAATGCAGAAACATCAGCAGATTATTGTGCCTCCTCTGCTTATGCTGAAAAATATTTTATTTCCACGGGGGTACCGCTGCCACTGTATCTTACAGAACACTCACTGTCACTGAGGTTTCTGCTCCATGCCTCTTCAGCTCTCTAAAGGCCCATTTATTCCCATGCTTTCAAGGTATCTAGTGGAGCAAGCTCTGGGAGGGATATTTACATCAGCACCTGCTCTGTACCTGTCCCTTGCCTTGACTTAATTTGGCTCTAAATTTGCACAATGATCTTCAAGCAAATCTTAGAAGACCATTTTCACCTAAAATGCACGCAAACAATCCAGAATTTTCATTGAGTAGTAATTGTTGTGAAGTTCTGATCAGTGGAACAGGAATTACTGAAGCCCTTTTCAGTAATGACTATGAGCCAGACTTCAAGGGTGGGATTTGGCTCCAGATGGCGGTGACCGGAATTAGGGTTTCTAATATAAGCTGGGTATCTAAGTTCCCATTATAGTCAATTGCCATCTTAGGACTTGATTCAGTTGTCTCAATACAGGACTCTAGTACCATTTGGAATACCTCAAAATACTTTATCTGACCTCTCCAGAGCACACAGGTCTCACCTCATATCCACTAGCCCAGCTAAATGCTTCAGATACTCTACGGTATCTGAAATAGCTTTAGATGCCTATTCTAGGCAACTAAATACCTCTCATAATCGGCGCAGCCAAACGAGCCTGAAGAGCTATTCAACTTCAGGGTAAGCTGAACAGTTCCCAAGGCTCCACTGACTATTAGCACTGACTGCATCTCCACTGGTGACAGCAGGAACTCAGACACCTACTCACACAGAGATGCTGAAATCCAGATGTCTGCAAGGCACAGCTGAATCCGACTTCCAACTTTCAGATAGCCAACCTGTGTCTCTAAGCTAATGTACTGCCTGACTATTTGAGCTGTTTCTATACAGAGGCTGGATTTTTAAAATGAAGACTCATTTGTTATTTTTCGTTTTGTCGATTTTTGTTTTAACAAAACGGACCAACTTTATAGCACACTACACTGTAAGAATATGGGCACATGAATCACCTATTCCAGCATAACTGAGAATGACAGTTTAAAGATCACCAGCAGCTTTCTGTTACCTGTTTCAGTGAATACTTTTCCTTGATAATACCTCATTCCACAGCAGAAAAGCACTTAAGCATATCCTTAGCATTAAGCATGAATTTGACACCCACTGGCTTTAATGAGAACTAAGTAATGTGCTTAATTGCTTTGTTGAACTACAGCCAACAGGAGTTGGAGGAAGATAAAGGCAAAGGAGAAATGCTGCTACTCTAGAAAAACTGTGGGTTTTCCAATGTCTATAGTCATATATTTTGCTACAAAACAAAGAAGGGCTAAAATTTTGGACAGGATTTATCTTTTGGTACAGGCATATTCTAAAACAAATCTGAATTTTAAAAAACCTGTATCAGAATTCTTTGAGTAGTATGACAAAGGTATTGCATACACCTATTAGAAACCACTTCAGCAATCCAAAAACCTTAAATATGAGATCTCTTTTACAGAGTGAGACTGTATCTTTTTACTCATCTATGAACTCCTGTAATTAATGCTGCTAACAGCAAACTTTCTTTTAAATAAGTGGCTCTTCAAGACCATCATGATGATGATAAAGTGCAATTCATATTTCAGTCCCTCTATCATAAGCAAGTCATTGCTTCTGAAACTGCAGATGACTGCAGTGATTTAATTCTGCATTTAAACCTTCATAACCACACTCTCACATCCCTGCCAGTAATTCAGTTCTCTGAGCTGCCAATCACAGATATCCTCTACAAAAAGGACACTAAAGAAAGGAAAGGAAGAGGCTCATTTCGATCCGCGTTTTCCCTGTTTCTGAGATATCACTGTAAATGGAGACAAAGAGACACAGCTCTTGCAAATCTCCCTAAGGAGACCATGGGGTAGTATAACTAAGTCAAACAATCCATACTGTGCAGAATAAAAGCAGCTCCATTTTCACTCGTGTAGGTACACCTACATGACAGAAAGTATGACGTAAGCAAAGCAGAAAATAAAAAAGGACCAATTGAAACAGGACAGGGATCAGGGGCATGCAATCCAAAATTATCATAACGCAGGCAGTCCTAACAGCCCAGCAGGATTTTGAGTGCTGTAGTCTGGGTGCACATTTGAACAGCAAGAGACAATCTGACAAGGTCCACATAGCGGAGGTGGTTGACCGTAACAAGCCAAAAGCAGAACACTTTTTCCAGTCTTTACAGGTGCTGTGGATCATCAGACACTTTTCTGCAGGCCCAGCAGGGTTTGCCCAGACTAGACAAATGACTGGTACTGTGTAAAATATAAGTGCAAGCTCACTGGCACATTTTAAACAGCCACTTTCAAACTATCAAAACAGAGACAGGTGAACGTAAAGAAACCATTACAGGTCCACTGTACAGTGAGAAGCTCTGAAAAGCCAATACAAAAATGTTGATATTCTTTATACACTACAAATGTTCCCTATCATGGGAACTAGGCAATTTGCAGAGGCTACTTTTAAAAAAAACTTCCTGAGGCTTTTCACTGCATGGTACTGGGAGGATCCCTTTTTCTCCAAACCCCACAGACTGGGGGAAGCACAGACCCTGCTATCTCCATGGTGGCCTGAGAAAGAGGTTTCTCCTTAATGAGTTGGTGTAATTCCCACTGGTGTTAAAATGGGGTTTATGCCTGAGGTAATACAGATTCTGGTTCCAAAACTGCAAGCCATGACAACCCTCCTGTTTCTGTCTCTTCTGTACTTTGGATATACATCATTAAATCAGTTAAGTGCACTGGGTCAACAATATCATAATATAACACCCCCATAATGCAGAGCTAGAGGAGTGCCACAAATTATGCAGTCATCTGTCCTCTTGACTGTGATGAAAGGAATATATTACCTGATACAGCCATTTTCAATCCTTTCAATATCTTCATCAGTAGTTCTGACAGTCAGTCTGTGCATACCAGGGTAGGAGTGCTGGGTGTTGATTTTTGCCATTTTGCTTTACATATCAACATCTAAATGACAGCTGAAAGAGGGGAAAAAATAGTTTGTGAAGGCTGCAAAAGAAATGTGCTCAGTACTTAAAAAGAGTGATTTATTAAAACAATGGAACAGCAAAAAGCAAATTCAACTATTTAAAGAATAGCCAGTGATACTTACACACACAATATGATACCTGTTTCTTGGTTTATTTGCATTAGACAGAAAAAAAGTGCTAGTAAAAGTGTAACAAAGAAAATTCATCGTGACTCAAGAAAAGGGTTACATGACACTATATTCTTTTTAGTCTCTGGGCGTTCTGAATCCCTACACCATCATACCTATTATCCATAGTGAAACTGCATTTAAAATCTCATTAAAAGAAGATTACAGTTAGAAAGCCAACCAAAAAAAAGCTAGGTAATATATGTGCTAGGACAACCCATTCCACCTTAAGTTGATCCCTTGTGCTAATTTTATCTCTTTTATGATGTTTTTTATTCTGAAAATGCATATTAACCAAGCAGATAATTAATGAAATTATCCCTCAGCTTAATATATGCTATGCAATAATTCTGTATTATCTAAACTCTGCGCTAAGCACATACTAGGTTTTTTCCCATTTATTTCCAGATGTCATTTTTGTTATAATGCTTCAAGACAAGCTCTGTTAAGATATTTATCAGCCCAGCTCCTACAAGATTTAGGGAATTCACCTAAATTCCTTTCCAGATTTGGCCTTCAATGCCTTAGCAACGTTAGTAAGTCAAATTCATATCACATCTATCCCTGCTACACAGGTTTTAAGACTCAAGACAAGTGTCTCTAAAAATGAGGGACTGAAAGACTGCCAGTGAAATTTTGAAATTTGAAGGGTTTTTTTAAGTGTTGAAACTCCATTCAAGAACCGTTTTTGTTTGAGACGACTAGAATGAAATTCTCTTGGGATCATTCAACTACCTCAGACCATCTGCTGTCCCTTTTTCACCTGCAATCCTCTGTCTCACTGACCATACAACATTCAGCTTTAGCAGCAAATGAAATACAGATCTTACAGAAGCTAACATTCTGCCCTGAATTATTCCTGAAGCAAAGCTCACAATCCATGATGAGGTCTATGTTATGCATCCATTTTCTTAAAAACCATATACTTGATTTACCCTCCACTTAACTCCCAGAGCACTAAAGAGAATCATATATAACTTTAAAATTTATTTAATATATGTCAAAATATAAACCAGATTAACTTAATTTTTGCATCCAGAAATAATGAAATTAGTCTAGAAATAGCTCTAGGGCATCATTTAACACCTGGAAATCTGGTTAGTATTTCCCATTTCTAATTTTACCTCAGTGCAAGTCAATTGATGTATAACTGTGTCTCATCTTAAACTGAGCCCTGTACATACTGGTTAACTTAAGCTTTACTGGGGAAAAAAAGGACATTTCTATGACATGTTGATATGAAAAAAAAAGGGGTCTTTCAACCCACCCTCAGATTTGAATGTTCACTCAGAAGAATTCATTCCTAAAGTGCAGATAATTTATGCTAAAAACTTGACTACATATAAAAATGTTAACTGGAACAGTCTCACAAAAGGAATCAATTTTTTTCTGTTCAAAAAACATCTGCCAAATTATGCCTATGTTTCTGTTAATGTATATCCGTTATAAATATCAATGAATATGATTTCTTTTAGAATGACTCAGAATGACTTTGAGAGACAAACATTGTTATTAATAAATTAACCAGCCAAATGAATGGGTTTCAAAATAGGTATGATGCAAAAAATGTCTCATTTCCATGAAAATTTTTCATAAATAATTTTTTAGTTATAATTACTGTTTCCATTACATACTTCGTTACACAGAATTAGATAGATGACACACAATAGTGCTTTAGTGATTAGAAATTCATTTTGCCGTGAGTATTAAGGTAACTCCCATTTCTCATATATTAATTTGAACATAATTCAAGGTAAGAAGAAAATGTTTTTCCTTCTGTTATTACCGATTTCTTCGAAGTTCAGCTTACCAAAATCTGCAAAAGTAGCCTACAACTTACACTCTGTCTCACTGCCCAGGTTCCAAGACTTGAAGTTACAATGGGAGGCTACAAGGCAGTACCCAGGGTGTCACGGCCGCTTCATTTAAAAACAGAGCAGCATGCTTCCTGATGACAAATTGTTATGCACATACATAAAGTAAGGCACAGTAGCAAATTGCTTCTTCCTACTAATAGCGGCTCTTGCTACCTATTTCATTTCCACTGCTTTGAGCTATACTAAGTCTCATCCAAGATAACTTTTAAGAGTAAGGTGGCATGAGCTGCTTGGATTTTACTGCTCCATATAGTCCCTTCTCTCCTTTAAAGCTCAGCCAAATAATTTTGTGGTTTTTTTAAATCAAAGTAGAGGTATCACGTTGCAGAAGGGAGGGGTAAATTGTCACTCTTCCACTGAACAGCATCATATATTCCCCCTGTACCCCCATTACACTTCCACTTTATTCTAGTTCAAGGTTTTAAAAGCTTGATGGCAGGAAAAATAGAATGATTCATCAGGTAAGTAACAAAGCATTACCTTTTTTCTAAGGATGTATTTCCAACACAAAGTTAGTACTGAGTTAAGATCTTGACTAGTTCTGCCACCTAACACAACAATAACCCTGTTATTAGTGCTGGTGATTTACAATCAGATTGATGTCTATCTACAGCAGTTCTTAAGCAAGGGTCGCCTGGTTTATAATCTCCAACAAAATAACTAACTCTTGTAAAACAATAAAAATATGAGATAATAAAAGCCTTCTGAAGTGTAGCAATGATGTACATAATTTGCTACCAACAACATGTAGTATCTCACTGAAAAGACACATTGCTTGTGAACCTGGAGAGTAGTGAGCAATGCCTTTCTACATTTCAAACGCTGTAGGTGGATTTCCAGACCTGCTGTTTCTGCATCAGCTCCTGAAAGTTCAGTTAAAAACCATTAAGTACAGTATTTCTTTAAACTTCAAACTGAAATGGCTTCTCCAGATGTTACTAATCTCCTGAAATTAGATATGACTAGTCTGGAATTAGACACTACTAATAGATACTGGAATTAGATATTCATAATCTCCTGGAATGGTTTGAGTACACCAGTGGAGCACTGAATACAGGAAACAGTTGTATACCTTATATAGACTTCCAAAAGCTATGCCCCTGAAGAAAGAAAACAATTCATAGGATATGAAGCCAAACACTATTTTGGACGAAAAACTAGCTTCTTAGAAGACAGAAAGCAAGAACAGAAAGAATTAAATGGTCACCGTCACCACTGCAAGAGTTTAAAAACAGTATTCCTCAGGGTTCCATCGGAAAACCTCTCATTAATGATGCTGATGAAAAGAACGAGCAGTGAGACAAGAAGATCCCAGGACAGCAAAAACTACTCTGGGCAGGAGAAACAAAAGAGCAGTGCAAGGAACTTCAGGGTGACCCCCATCAACTATATTAATTTCTCAATTTGATGGCTAGTGATGTGCAATTTAGGCAAATCAATGAATACTGGTGAAAAGCATGTAAACTACTACCTTATATGTTTCCACATCAACCACATGCTCTCAGAAAGGGAACTTGAACACTATGTATGTCCAGCTCAGTGAAATGCTTGCTGACACAATAGCTAACAAGGTGAAGGGATGTATACATGGAAAGTGTTAATGACACAAAGAACATTAAAACTGCTCCAAGAAACAACAGCGTGGACTTATCTGGAACACCATTAGTCCTCCTCTTAAACAGAAAGATACTGCAGAATAAAAGCATGGCAAGCATGATCAAGGACATAGAAATGGGAGAGAAAGAAAAACGGGGCTTGCTCACCCTAGAAAAGCAAAAAATAAGAAGATACAAATAAAAATATGTAGGCAAAATTGGAGTTCATTTCAGAGCCCTTACAATTATTTCAGCTGTAAAGTCCAAATTCAATATACAGTGTGGTCTGAACTCTTATTCTGAACTAGACTGGAGGAAAGGAGGAGGGAAAAATTCCACAGAAATACTATTAAGCAATAAAATACCTCAGTGCCAGGGAATATTATGGAGGGTTCATTTTGAGTACGCTCAACAGGCATGTGCAGGTCAACC